ATATACATGTGATTTTTAAAACAGCAGCAGGAATTTAATATAGCCATAATGTTGATGAGGAGATGTTGAGATTTTTCAGTGTCATGACTTCTTCCTGTTACATGGATGACCAACAAATGGATAGCTGGTACTACTCAGTAGCTGAAATTAAAACATAAAGCTAAATAAAGTAGTAGCAGCAGTACTAAGTATCTTTTCATCATTTAATCCATACAATTTCTATGTCAACATATCAAGTGTTACTATTATTCATTTCTAACTAGAAAAATTAAAACTTGACATAGGTAAATTAATATGCCTAAAATCTGAGGCTTCATAGAATATCTCAACAATATTAACAAAAAAACTGTATCTTGACTAGTCTCAAATAGACTATCTTGAATATAGCCTCTGAAAATAAAACAGATCATTACCTTTTAATGATACAAGCAATAAGCAAATCCTTTTAGTGATGTCTGATTATGCATTTTCTATGATTTAGGACACATTGCTTTAGAAATTGCCAGATCTCTTCTGAAGGGATTTTGTCTATGGCATACAATGGGAATATATAACCTAGTGAGAAACTGGGCATGTTAGGTCTACTACCGAGTTAAATTTTTGTTATACAAATATGCCTTGGATTTAGCTCTGGGAATTTTTATCACCTTTGCCAAACTCTTGATATATGATAAAAATCATCTTAGGAGATTACTACATTGTTGATTTGAAATTTTTGAAAACATGCTTTTGTATTTAATCAAAATTAGTATTCCCTCAAAACTAAGTTTCTTCTTCACTTTGTCCAGGTTGGATCTAGTTACATCTTTTTGTGTACTAGGGAAAGTCATAGAATCATAGAATATGTTGAGTTCAAAGTGACCCATCAAGAACATCAAGTCCAAGAATCATAACTTGTGCCTCAGGGTGTTGTCCTAACATTTCTCAAACTCTGTCAGGCTTGGTGCTGTTACCACTTCCCTGGGGAAGCCAGTGTTCAGCTACTGTCTGGGTGCAAAATCTTTTAGTGACAGCCAAACTAAACCTCTCCTGACTCAGTTTCATGCTGTTTCCTCGAGTCCTGTCACTGATCCTGGGAGTGAAGAGATTGGTACCTGCTCTGCTTCTCTTCTTCCTGTCCTGAGGGTGTTGAAGACCACAGTGAGTTCTCCCCTCAGTCTCCTCGCTTTCAGGCTGAACATACCAAGTGACCTCGTAAGGTTTCACCTCCAGACCCTTCACCATCCTCATGGCTCTCTTTTAGACACTCTCTAATAGCTTGATGTCTTTTTAAATATTGGGATGCCCTACATTACCCCCAGCACTCAAGGTGAGGCTGCCCCAGTGCAGAGCAGAGCAGAACAGGACAATCTCCTCCTTGTCCAGCTGGAGATGCTGTGCCCAGGAGACATGGTTGGCCCTTCTGGCTGCCAGGGCACTGTTGACTCATATTCCACTTGCCATCAACCAGGATTGCAGAATGTTTAAATATTTTTATTTTATGAAAATTTAGAGGTGGCTTATTTATTAGCAGTAGTGAACTGAACATCTCTTTACTTATATAGCTATATTTCAGTAATATTGACTTTTGTTAACCATTTATACACAGTGGGAATGAGGCCCTAATTTAAATTCAGTACTGATATGTTATTTGTGGCTAGCATTATCTTTAGTAATTTGATTTTTCATTTCATATGTAAATTAAAGACAAAGAATGTAAAATAACAGTAAAGCTTTCAACTGAAAGCTAGAAAAAGACAATAAAGTAATTAAAATTCTCATTTACTTCACCTAACCTTATTTCCTCGAATGGCTTTGTTAATGACTAGAAAGTAAGCAAAATGGAATTGATAACTCATCTGCTCTTTGTTGTAATCATTACCTAGTAATTTTCTCTTTTAATCCTTTATCTTTCTTTAGTCTTTATTCTGCATGTCAAAATCTAGTCACTTTCTGGATTATATGCTTCATACACTCCAAAATACAGTTCACTGAATAAGTATTGCTGATTTAAACTGAAATGTGTTCCATCTTAAAGTTTTCATCCTATGAGATAAAGAGTTGTGAGGGGGAGAGAGGTTAGAGGAAAAAGTCACAGTAGGCTACTTATGGCCCCTTGCAGGCCTTACAAAGCAATATATTATCAAGTGAAGTCATTTAGACTCTGGGAAGAATGATTTAGGGCAGTTACTGTCTCAGCTTCTTTCACAGATAATATCCACTTATTCTTATCTTAAAAGGTGACTTTATAAATTAAAGGAAGTAATGCTGTAACTTCTTTACTTATTTATTCTCTCTTCCTGAGTAAAAAGAAATACCTTTTTTTAACAGCAGAGAGAGTAGCTGTATTTTCCTGCAGTATTTTCCTGCACTTTGTCTAGCCACATCTGTCGAAACAATGCAGAGTACACACCTGTAAGTTTCTGCTTTGGCTCTGACTACTGTGAACTGTGTGACTGCTACATAAGAGAGGAAAATAATGAGGATATAGGATGGTATATCTGGTTGAATTCAGCACTTCAGAGTCTTGGTCTACTTTTCTGCACATTACAAGTCATCTTTCTAAGAAATAATTGCTGCTTACAAATTTTAAGATAGAAAATGCATCAGAACTGGGAACTGCTACTCAAAGAGACTCATGTCTCAACCTAAATAATTCTATGATTCTGTGTTACAGATGAAGTTTTTGGCATGCAGTCTGTTGTGATGTTTCTGTGTTTATTAGCACATATACATATAAATACATATTAAACTTCAAAATGTGTGTTGGCAACCACTGTGCTATTTTAAACAATGAAGACCCTAAAAGTTCAGTTACTGAATCAAATTTTTTGTCATGATATTGTTAGTCCTCTGTGGCAAGCAGCATGGAGTAGGCAATACTGTGTTTCAAGGCAAAGTTGACATTTTTTCCTGAAGAATTGCTTTAAGTTTACAGCATAATGCAGTGGTTCCATGTGAAAGCATCCCAATGTATAGTTATACGCATGCATGTAAATAAATCTGTTGAGTAGATTATTGACAAGCATAATTAAAGAATAGCAGTACTTCATAAATTATTTACGAGGCTTTCTCACAAGCAGCAGTATGACAGAAGGGTTACTTGTATGTTAACCAGCTACACAGGAGAAAGGGAGCAGATATGTTCTAGTTTAAAATAATTCCCTTAATGTCTCACTGTGTAGCAGCTCTCTCTCACAGCAGCTCTCAGCTGCCTGTGAGCTGGCTGTCTGCACAGTATGAACACAGTCACTCAAAGAAAGGCATGGTGCAATCTTCTGTCATTGTACACCCAAATTAAATCAGCCCTTGAAGAATTTTGAAGTTATAGAGCCAGAACAGGAAATGGTTGTTCTCTGAAACAGATCTGGTTCTTTTTGGCTCTCGTAAGCCAGTTCAAACTTCCAACTCAGCTATTTAGTACAGCATTTGGCTTAGTTGCTTTCATGCTTCCTTACTGCTAGTCTTGGGAGGTGCCTGGAGTCCCTCACTCTACTGAATGTTTGGGGTGTCTACAGCTGTACCCCACAAAAGCTAAAGATGAGCAGAAGCCAAATGGGTAACTAGTGGGAAGGTACAGGAAGGCTGAGTATTCCCATCTGGATAGGTGCTTTGCGCATTTTGTGTCCAAAATTCAAGCTGCCCTTTGGCAAAACCCAAGCTTGTACTTATCTAAGATTTAAGGCTTAAAATAGTTTCTTTTCCTCTGTGTCTGTGGTGAAGATTAGGTCTCTCATCCATGCTGGAGTGCCTCAGCTAAATTTAACTCTGAGTGTTAGAAGGACTTGCTCATGGGATTATGGTACAGCTGTGAAAACTGCTGCTGTTGTTTTAGTTGAGGATTTATAAGAGGAGAAAATATATATGCAAAGAGAAAATATGTATTTATTTTTTTAAATACATACATGTATGGGGGGATGATTCCAGACCTGAAAGAAGGAGTTACATAGCTGAATATGTATGGATGAATACAATATGAATATTCAAGGAGCAAGTTCTGCAATAGCACAGGTCAAAGCCAGTACTAAAACAGGACATGTCAAAGCCAGTACTAAAACAGGACAATGCCTCCCTCATCCCATTCACTGTATCTGTATGTGTGGTGAGAAACACGATAGACAAGCACATAGCAAGCTTCACATCTTGCTTTCTTGTCAAACAAATTTAATTGCAATAAACTGCTAATCAGTTATATTCTAGTATAGGAGAGCTGTGTGGTGTTGCTGACATTTGCTAATGCATTTTGGTGATAAATTTATTTCAAGGTGTCTGTCTTTATTTTTTTTCCAGGTACAAGTCCTTCGCAATGCAGGGGAAGAAGTGACCCTAACTGTGTCCTTTCTGAAAAGAGCACCTGCTTTTCTCAAACTGCCGCTGAATGAAGATTGTGCATGTAAGCCTTTATTACATGACCAAAGAACCTTCAATTCCATACCCATGAACACCTGCAGCTTCTGAAACTACTGTGCATTGGGGGTGATTGACAGCAGCTTTTACAATCAGCATTGCTGTCTAAATATGAGTTGCTCCTATTGCCAGAGCTTGTGTTAACATTGACCTCAAGAGAAAAATCGCTATCTACGGTTGAAAAACAGATAACCAAGCATTTGGCTGGTGTGAATCAATAAAGTTGTGAGTAAAACAGTAGAATTATATTAGTTTGCAATAGCTCATATCCTGGTGCAGAGTATTTAAAATTAATTTTTTGGGCAGTATCAGCTAGTATTTAGTCCCAGGGAGTTTTTTCTTGTAAATGTGAAACTGAGATTGTGTGTATATATTTAGAGGATTTTGTTGTTTAAAATTCAGAAGCTTGGGTGGAGATGTCTACCTAAGAATAAATTACTCTGGAATTAAAAGTATTTTCTTTTAGTCCAAACTGAGTTTTAGTGAACTTGCCCCATGAGAGTCATATGGAGACAGCTGTCTTCCTTTAATTATATTAAATTGTAAGTGTGGATGCATAATTATAGACAATTGCAGCATATCTAAGTATATTTATATATCAGCCTGTGCCTTTTGCCACCTCTGCTTTCGTTCTGCTTTTTTCTCCCTAAGAGAGTGAACTAAATTGCTCAATTTTAAAGCAACGAAAAAATAAATATTTTATTTTAATACTTATAGCCCTTGATTTTAAATCAGCAGGAATTAAATAATCAAAATAATGAAATAGCATTTTATACAAACATTTTATGGAATATTTTCTTTTTCTTTTGCTTATGTATTAAATTTAAACTAAACAAGGAAAAAAACAGAACACTCTATTCTTAAATAAAAATATATCCCAGTACCTTTGTCTCTTTTAGGAGAGGCTGTGGCACCACAGAGTAGCCTTAGTGATGCACAGGAATGTGTATTTGCATGGATCCTCTCATGTCACTTTTGAGGTGTAGCTCTCTAGTTTCCTAAACTATTACAAGAACATTTAGAACTGTTAACTCCACTGAGACTAACAAAAGAGTTATCTGACAAATTCCTTCAAGTAAAAACCAACAGAGAAAGTACACATTTCCCTTTTACTGTCAAATTTTAAAGAAACATTGGGGTTTTTTTTTGTTACCAAGAGGGCATTAATTTTTTTAATCAAAGCACCAGGAAATGTTTTCTTGAGCCTCCATATAGTTTACAAAGGCAATCCACTCAAGCCAGAAAACCAATACTGGCTAAATGGAGAAAGTAAATTAATGTTATATATGATAGAAGTTATTTGGGTTTGGGGAGAATGCATACATACATATGCAAATTTGAATTATGTTGTCACAAATTAAAGGAGAGTTTTCATGTGAATTTGTATTTGTATTAGGTGCTCCCAGTGACCAAAGCAGTGGCACATCCTCTCCTCTGTGTGACAGTGGTTTGCATCTCAACTACCACCCCAACAACACGGTAAGAGCCTGATGGAATCACACAAGAGAATAATTATAGTATAATAGCTAAGTGGAAGTACTAATAAAGGAAAAACGAGTAGCCAGAAATTATGGGAAGGAATGTGACAAATTATTACAGCTGAGATTGTGTCTGGATGCATGTGATTACTGTTTACTTGGGCAGTATGGATTTTGCTAAAGATTTTCCTTCTGCATTTTTTTCTCTGCACAGGAATTAAAATTCTTAAAGTGAAAATATACCTATTTATAAAAAATAAGAAAAGTTTTTGATAGTATTTTCCATTACTTATATTGTATGCATTAACTAAAACTCTTGGCAAAAGATGATTAGTTGTATGTTTTTCCCTATTTTTGAGGTGAAAGTGTTTACTTCTGGTAATGTGTACTTAAAACCATAACTGAAGTGGGATAACATGCAGCAGAGTGTCTCTGGGATAAAATGCTACAGATGTCTGTTCAGATATTTACTAAAAGATGCCTTTGAAGTGCAACAAGGGACTTTAAAATTTTTTCTTAGCTAGAAAATGCAAAATTTTCTTTATTTTAAATAGTTCTAAAGGTTCTTTTGATGAGTATTTGGCTTTGTGATAGATTAAAATAGAAAAAGCACAGAAAAAATAAACCAGTATAGATCATAATTTTAAATGTTTTAAAACCTGATATGTAAGCCATACTGAGCAGCTATTTCCAGTTTCCATCTTGTTTTATTGCACTTTCATATTTTTCTATTAAAATTTTAAATAGCAGCCCACAGATTTAAATATCAATACCACAGATTTAAATACAGTTATAATTTGGAAAACCCTTCAGAATTATGCACATTTTAGGAAGTGGAATTTATAAATAGTAACATCAATAAAATTGATATCAAATAACAATAAAAATATATGTAACTTGTGCAGCAACAGCAAAAGCAGACTTGTCTCAGGAGTCTATATAGGTATGTATATATGTATGTAAAAAGGCTATGTCAGTTGATCCAAAGGTGATTTATTCGACTAGCTGCTACAATTCTAATTTTGCTTTTATGATAAAAAGCATGCTTTCATTTGTGAATTCTTTTTTTGCAGGTGTCAAAACTGATCTAAATGAGCTGTAGTTTCCATTTGAACTGACAATAATTCACTGCAAACAATTGTTTTTCTTTCAGTTGAAATAATATAATCTAGTATAATGAGTCTATAATTCCCTAAATTAAATTTTCAAGCGAAGACCAAGATGTGATTCTGACATGTCCCCTTGTCATGGGAACAGAGTTCTTCATAAAACCAAACCTTGCTATGAATTCCTAAGTTATGTACAACTCTTATGCCATGGCTCTTCCTTTTTTCTCAGAATATTCCCTAGGAGGAATTATGACAGCTGGATCGGTGAGCAACTGGCTCATGGTTGGACACAAAACCAACAAAAAAGTTGTAGTGAAGAGAGTGAATTTCGGCTGGTGACTGGTCACTACTGAGGTTCTGCTGTATCTTAGGCCCAGTGCTCATCAACATTTTGATTAATGATCAGCAAAGATGGTGAAGGGTCTGGAGGAGAAGCTATATGAGAAGAGGCTGAGGTCACTTGGTCTGTTCAGCCTGGAGAAGAGGGGACTGAAGGGAGACCTCATTGCAGTTACAACTTCCTTGTGAGGGGAAGAAGAGAGGTAGACACTGATCTCTTCTCTGTGGTCAGCAGTGACAGGACCCAAGGGAATGTTGCAGCTGCAAGGTTTAGGTTGGATATTAGAGAAAGGTTCTTTGCTTAGAGGATAGTTGAGCAATGGAACAGGCTCCCCAGGGAAGTGGTCAAACCTTGCCTGACAGAGGGCAATAAAAATTTGAAAAAACTCTCAGGAACATTGTGAGATTGTTGGAGATGTCCTGTGCGGGGACAAGAGTTGGACTTGATTATCCTTGTGGGTCCCATCCAACTCAGACATTCCATGATTCTGAGATGTACAGCCACAGTCTTGTTTCTGAATTTGTAGTCCTGTTAATTCACTTGAAGGATGCTTTTGACTCAGAACTTGGAGTAGAAAAGACTTTGGTCTTTTGTCAACAGTTCACAGAGTTATGCAGTCTAAAGTTAGGGTTAAGATTTTTCTTGTAGCCATGTCTAGGCCTACAGTTTGTACCTGAACTTTTACTGCATTTCATCTTTTCCCTAAGTTTAATCACAGGTGAAGAAAGGTTCTCAGAAGCAGAAAGAAAACATTAAGAATTCAGGATGTTCAAAACAACATCCTAGGGTAATCTTCCAAGCCAATAATTTATTTATTTTTATTGAATCTGTGGAATTTCTTACCAGAAATTCAGTGTTTTAAATAAGTGAACTACCTATGAAAGGCTTGCTGCTCAGCTAACATATTTATTGTGATATTTTGTTTCATATACATAAAAGATATATGAACATATATGAAAAAGTAAAGTTCAAAGCTTTATAATTCCATAGATCCTACACAGAATGCACCCTCTAGAAAAATAGAAGGTGCACTTAATTTTGATAATATTTATATTATAGAATATACCAGTAAGAAAAACTATGAAATTTGAGATTAAAAATAATGTAAATCAACAGGTTTAATTTTATGTATATCATGATATACTGTCACTTGTTTTTTGTCCCCCACCTGGCTACAGCCTAATTTCAGGTGGCTGTGGAGAGTGATAAGTTCTCCCTGAGCCTTCCTTTCTCCAGGCTAAACAACCTCAGCTCCCCCAGCTGCTTCTCACAGGACTTGTCTCCAGACCCTTTCCCAGCCATGTTGCCCATTTCTGGACACGCTGCAGCACCTCAATGTCCTTGTTGGAGCGAGGGGCACAGAACTAAATATGGCACTCATGGTGTGGCCTCACCAGTGCCAAATCAGGGGGATAGTCACTGCCCTGGTCCTACTGGACTATTTCTGATCAAGTCAGGATGCTGATGGCCTTTTTGGCCACCTGGGCACACACTGGCTCATGTTCAGCTGCTGTTGACCAGCACCTCAAGGTCCTTTCTCATCGTGTAGGTTTCCAGCCACTCTGCCTCCAGACTGTTATGCTGCCTGGGGTTGTAACAAAAGTGCAAGACTGGAACTTTGTCTTGTGAATCTCATACAATTGACCTCAGTCCATTGATTCAGCCTGCAGAGCCTTCCTACCCTCCAGCAGATCAGCAGTCCTACCCAACTTGATGTCAGCTATGAACTCACGGTGCACTTCATCCCCTCTTCCAGATCATCAGTATTAAATATTAAACAGTGCCAGCCCCAACACTGAGCCCTAGACAACACCAGTCATGACTGTCCACCAAAGGGATGTATCCCCATTCACCACCACTCTCTGGCCTCTCCATCCAGCCATGTTTTTACCCAGTGTACTGTGTACCCATTGAAGCCACAAGCAGACAGTTTCTCCAGGAGAGTGCTGTGCCAAAGGCTTTACTAAACTCCAGGTTAACAACATCTACAGCCTTTCCCTCGTCCACTAGATTGGTCACCTGGTCGTAAGAGGAGATCAGGCTGGTCAGGCAGGAGGTGCCTTTCATAAACATGTTATTTATGGTTTATTGCATATAGTTTATGTAATTTATTGCTGGGCCTGATTCCCTCGTTGTCCTGTACATGCTGTGGGATTGCACTTAGGATGATCTGTTCCATGACCTGCCACAGGTCTGGCTGACAGGCCTGTAGTTCCCCAGATCCTCCTTCTAGCCTGTCTCGTAGATGGCATCATGTTGGCCAATTTCCTGTCAGCTGAGACCTGTTAGCCAGGACTGCTGGTAAATGATGGAAAGGGATTCGCTGAGCACCTGTGCCAGCTCCCTCACTATCCTTTGGTGGGTCCCATCTGGCCACATAGGCCTGTGTGTGCCTAACTTCTGCAGCAGGTCACTGACCATTTCCCCTTGGGTTATGGTGGCTTCACTCTCTCCCTATCCCTGTCTCCCAGCTCAGAGGTTTGCTACCAGGCAAATATCTGGTCTTACTATTAAAGACTGTGGTAAAGAAGATGTGGTTAAATACCTCAGCCTTTTCCTCATCTTTTGTTGCTATGAGAAGGTACTTTGAAGAACTGTGCTCTCTCATAAAAATAACATCATCATTAGCACTATTTTATAAAGCATTTTGTAAAGAAAGGTGTTGTATTTTTTGACACAGATGTTGATAATTTAACTTTTTATAAGCATTTCTCATGCAAACCTATATTCTTTAAAAATACTGATCAAATTAGACTCTGTGTTTAAATACTCATTCTTTGTAGATATCATCATAAACATGATAAAGTTCAGTTTTCATATAAGCAATGTCTTCTGTAAGTAGGTAAAATTAAAATATTCATCACTTCAGCATGTAGTTTTGACAATTTTGACAGTTTTTATTGCATGTTAAATTCCGTTCCCAATTACCGTGTTTTGAGATATCATTAGAAAAGATACGTATGTAAATGTGTACAGAGCCACAGGAAACAACTGAATTATGGTTGTATTGTGAATAATTTAGAGGTCCTATTCAGAATCTTTCCAGTGCTCACTAAAACTAATGACAAGTGATTTGGAAAAAATGGAACACTGCCAAATTAAATATAAGTCTTTGAAGTCTATCTCATTCTTTCTAAATCTGCTGACTACTTAAAATGAAGTTCAAAACTGAAAAGAACCTTTTAATGTTTTTCAGGATACATTATCATGTTCCTCATGGCCAGCATCTCCAGGACTTAGGTGGGAGAAGAGGTGGTGTGATCTTCGATTAATTCCACTTCTTCATTCACGATTTTCCCAGTACCTTCCAGGATCAGATTTGTGCAGGTAAAGAAATTCTGAAGGTTGAAACTTGATTTCTTGGTTGACAAATGCATGCCCTAGAGAATTGCCTTGTTGGAGAAATTGCATTATTAGTTCCATGGCAGCTGACAGAGACATGAAATAGGAGCTTTCATAAAAGTCTTTTTAGGTCTACCTTGGCTCATATTCTCCTCTGACATCAGCTGGGCTGGTATGTGAGGAGATGATGGGTGATCTTTCGATTTGCCTCTAGTGCTTAGCACCTTTTGCAGTTTGAGATGAAACCTGCATCTTCATATTTAATAGATGCTAATGCTCTTGTTCTCAAAAGCTTCTTTCTAAGTAGCTTGTTTTTATGTCTTTGATTTTTGCAATGCATTATGGCATTGAGCTCTGCAATGTGATTATATTTCTAAAATGCATTTCCTTCTGTTTGTGTTAAATACATCATCTGATACCTACATTGGGTGAAGTAATCTTGTTTGAGAGCAGCAAGGGCTGGCTGCCCTATGGGGACGATAAGCCAAGAGAGACAATGACGGTGAGGCCAGAGAAGGCATTGTCTGTTCATGCAGACAAATATCCTACCCCACTGCTCCACGTAGGAACAGAGGAGGCTTAGGAACAGTCTTCAGAGGAGTCCATCATGGTCCACTGGGACTCAGTTTAGGCTGGGAAGTCAGTCTGAAGGTCCAAATCTGTGGGATGCATGTCCAGGCACAGGAGTAGCTGCAACTGTACTCAGGTGAGGACCAAGAGCAAGAGCCTGAACTGATAAGCATCTTTCAGTTCTTGTCAGTTCTTGTACTTCCTTGCTTTATGTTTATAGTTACAGTAGAGACCTTTTTTTTTTTTTTTTTTTTTTCTATATAGCTAAGGTTATTTTTCCCCATGTTTTACATTGGAAATTTGTCACAATCACTGGGATAGCTGTCCGAAGCTCTTAGTGAGGTTTAACTTTATTGCATCATTGCGATGAGTTGACCATGGCTGGATTCCAAGTGTCATCCAAGCCTCTCTATCACTCCCCTCCTCAACAGGATGGAGGGGAAGAAAGTAAGATGGAAGTATTCTGATGAGTCAAGATAAAGGCAGTTTAATAAAGCAAAAGCAAAGGCCACACATGGAAGCAAAAACCCCAAAATATTTGTTCTCTTCTTCCCATCAGCAGGTGATGTTCAGTCACTCCCTGGGAAGTAGGGCTTGGGTACATGTAGTAGTTGCTCTGGAAGACAAGTGTAATAATTAATTAATGCCCTCCCTCCCTTCCTTTCTCCTAGCTTTCATTGCTGAGCAGATGTCATATGGTATAGAATATCCCTTTGATCAGTTTGGATCAGCTCTCCTGGCTATTTCCCCTCCCAAGATTTTGTTTCCTCAACCTGTTGGTGAGAAGGGAATGTTGGAGCAACAGCTCTGATGCTGTGCCAACACTGCATAGCACTAGCCAAAACGTTGTGTAATCAATATCTTTCTACCTAACAATACTGAGCACAACACTATGAAGGCTGCTGTGGGGAAAATAAAATTCATTCCAGAAAGACCCTAGAACATGACATTTTTTAGTTTAATATTACTCTAATAAATCAGAAGAAATTAGGAGGGAAGACAATAACATTCTGTAATGATTACTGTTTGCAAAGCAATGAAATAAAAATGAAATTAGCTGAAAGTACAAAGTCTTACAAGGCAAGTATATAAGATCATACCTGTTAAAAGTTTTAAGCATCTAGCTATTACATGGATTAATTTATCATCTGTATATAAGAATGAAGTTCTCATACTGAAATACTCTCATGAGCTCTAGTATGTAGACATTATCTGTAGGAAAGCTGTGTTTAGGTACAGAGCAGGTTACTCCATAATTTGTTCTTCTAATGAATTCCCTGTGAATGGATTTATGAACCCCCCAGAAAGTGAGTTAAGAGAAGTCTTCTTCAATCTGTTTTTGTGGAGTTAATTTTACTGTTTCTTACTGATACTCAGTAAACATTTGAAAGTTGCACAAAAGCTGTCCACTGCCTCAGTTGCTTCTTAGGGCTGTTTCTTAGCATTACACTATCTAGGTCTGCCAGCCATTTCTCCTATTTACAGAGCTGAAATTAGTGCAGGTTAGGCAGTACCTGTTGTAGATCATTGCTGAGCTAAAGCCAGCCTGAAGCTTTTGACCAGTAATAGCAGTATCATATTTACTTGGCTGCATGAACCTCGCTCTGTTGAGTGGCTGACCCAGGGAGGAAAGGTAGAAACCAAAGGCTGCAAAAGCTTCTTGGCTGAACTGAACTGGAGCAGGATCAGGTCACCAGAGAGGCAGGAGGTGTTTTACTAAATTATGTGAAAGCCTTCAGCTCCTTATTTAACAATGAAGCGTAAAGCACCCAAAACCATAACAGTCAAATCTGAGATCTATTCTACTGTATAATTCAGATAGGGTATTGAATTGCATAGAACTACTCACATGGAATATTAGTTCATAAGCAGCTGTTCATAGACCTAGGGTTTTAAAATTCAGTCTTCTCCATCAATAAAAAATAAGCTTAAAGGTCATATTATAGAACTTGTACATAACAAAGGAAGTGTCTTAGGTAGTAATGATATACCTGATATAATTTCTAGAAAATAAAGGTATAGTAATATGAAACAAAATACCTGAACTCATACTCAAACCTTGAAAAACTACTCTGATATTTTTTTCCTTGTATCCTTCTATTCTGTCTAATATGATGAAATAAACCTTAAAAAACCTAAAAATGCAGGATCTGTATGAGAGGATTTTTCTTAAATCATAGAACCAACACTTTATGTTGCTAGCAAGATAGTTTATATGACTATTTTAAATTGCTGTAGACATTTTTAAATGTTACTCCCTCTCAGAATTTGTTATGAGAGAAAGGTAGATACTTTTATAAGAGATCAGTAGAAACATCACTATAAAAGAAAGGATATTAAAAATAATATAAGGAAGCAACATGAAATGAAAGTTAATTCATTACATTTTCCATAGTTAGTATTTACAAGGCCGTTTTCACTATGTAAAGCCTAATGACTTTTTATAATTCAGAGTTTGATAGGGAAATATATTGTTCTCACATACAATATTAAACCTCATAATCTTGTTCTAGCTTTTCCAGTGGAGTGGTTGGGACACATAAATTCTGGAGGATATTCATGGGGAATTCTAGAAGACATTCAGGTTAACCTTGCAAAGCTCATTATTTTCAAATATAGCTTTTATGTTCCAGAAGGCCCAGAACCTGAAATGTGTAGTTGAATAAGTGTTTATTAATTCTCATTTTTTTTGTGTATTATAAAGTAATTAATCTATTATTTGTTTCGTTTAATACAAAACATCTATTTAATGTATTCTGTTTTCAGGTTTGCATGGTATCATGGACTTGGGATGGTAGACGTAATCAAGAAAATACTATTACAGTAATCTAAGGTTATCTACTGCCAAGACACATTAATAAGTAATTTATTAGGCGACCATGTATCATACTGTTGATATTTGAGTAGTTTGGAGTTGATACTTGGGTAATAACATTATGGATGATTGATTCTGTACTTGCACAGATCAAATTCCTAGGACAAGTAGGAACAATCTAATACCCCAAATGCACCAGATTCACTGTGTTTGTAGTCCAAGGGAAATATGTACATGAGGACTGAATCTGGGGTTTTTCTATTTGCATTAATGTTATGCATTAATAGGTCTTTTAGATCACTGCTTTGATTTATGATATAGTATGTAGAAACAAGGCAAGTCCTGAAATTAGTGTTATTTTTCTTAAAAGAGATGATCAACAATTTTGAGCCCATGCTATGGTCTTCATTCAAGTATTTAAAAATTTATTCTGGAAAAATTTGCTATATATATTTATAGCCATCTAAAAAAAAAAAAAAAGGATAGAATAAAAAGATGTTAGAAACACTACCTGAAGATTCTTTTAATAAATCTTCCTCAAAACTTTACTAGAATTATTGTGAAAATGAATCTCTGAAAGAAGACTGTCTTGGTTGGTATTGTGAATTTAAAGAAAAATCACTACCCCTAGGAAAGACAATTAAATTGCTGGATTTAAATAAACCAAAGAACCCTGAAAGATCATGTTGATATAAGCCTCATTATCCTGCAGAAGCTGGATCTCATACTAGAACACTCAAAGCAAAGGCATGGCTCTAGTTCATTTCTATTGCTTCTCCTGACTGAAGAAACAGTTTGTTCTCAACATGGATGGGATGAAGACAAATACTAACCTTACATTGTGTTCAACTATAATAAAATTTTAAGAGGTAAAAGACCCCAAGCAGCTTTTAAAAATTGATATCTGTCTTCAGGTGGCAGAAGCTGTCATTGACGATGCTCAGTTTTACCCTGGAGATAACAGGCACTTTGCTTGAGCCATTCTCAAAGATTCTGAATGATGTACTTAATCTTAACGATGAATTGATCATCAGCAGTTGGGTTTGTAGCAGAATGTCAGCAGTGGAACTTGGTATTCTCTGTATGTTCAGTAATCTCCTACTCTAGGATATGGATTATTATTGAGCTTTTTTGGTTTTGAAGACAGAGACCTGTGAGCCTTACAAGAGCTTTTAGCAAATAAAGCAATTTACTGAAGAAATTAGGTCTGTTATTGCTTTAGCATCTGAAAATTTTTCCCTTGTTCTATAATTGCTCAGTGCCTGGAAGTGGAAAATCAGTATATAATGCATGATAGATTTTTGTATATGTGCCCAGATTGGTGCTGAGGGTAGAGGCAGAGGTAGGAGTGTATTTTTGTTAATGATCAGAAGTGCAATTGGAAAAATCATTATTGCAATTTGATCAATTTTGAGTTCTCCAAGTTTTCAATCAGTAGTTTAGAAGAGAAACAGAATTCTGTAAGCGTGAGCAGCCAACAAGGGCCTCCAGAATGTAATCCAAATGTGTTTAGACACTGTATTATAAAAATAAAACAAAGATGTTGAGAAAAAGATACTGGTATTCACTGAATTTCCCAAATTATTACCTATGGTTTCCAATGCGCTTTCCTTCTCTCTAGTTTGCTGTATTAAAGTATTAAGTCTTAGATATGAATCAGCTCTATCACTTGTTCATCTTCTGAGGTTGTATGGCCTGATGGTCAGCGTTCTGTGGAGCTGGACTATGGAATTTTTAATAGCCTTATGGAAGCTTAATATTGCCTGAATTGACCTTTTAGAGTGATTTTAATGTCAGGTATTTATAAATCAGGAAAACCAGCATTTTATCAGTGTTCACTGGCTGACCTTCATTGTCGTTGAAAAAAAAGCACTTTTACGAGTATTGTTAAGATGATATGCTAGAAAAGATAAAATTTTCTTCTGACCTGATCTGTTATGATATGTCTATAGGCAAAATGCATTCCAAGTAATTGCTGTGGATGGGGTTTGCAGTGGAATAATTCAGTGTCTCTCTTCTGAAGACTGTATTGACTGGCTACAAGCAATAGCAAGTAACATTTCCAACCTCACAAAGCACAATGTAAGTATGGATCCAAGTAAGCCAGAAGGTTTCCCAATCATATTTGATTATAACTGTCATAAAAGCCTAATGGGTTCACACACAGAATTATCTGCATATAAACAATGCTTGAGGCTGTCTGAGAGAAGTCAGCTCAAGTTTGTTGTCAAATCAGACTCTGTGAGAAACCATTGAATGGGAAAATATTCTTCCCTACAGTCATATAATTCACTTTGTTGCTATCAGAGTTATTTCCTTCATAGGAGCACCAACTAGGATTAGAAGCAAAGATGAGACACACAGGAGGAAGCCAGGTCTGATGCAGGAACACATTGAAAATACAAAAATTCTGTGCTTTCTTCATAGTACATCTCTACAGAAGCTGGTATAACCAGATCTAAATTAGATTTTAGGTCTGTTTAGGTAGTGTTTATCATGATGGGAAAGGCAAGGTGCTTCTGTTGTGTAGATATAGATATTTGCTATCAACAATGATTTAATGCATTTATGCTTCGTGCACTGCACTCTTACCATCTGAGCTTGTGGGATAGATACCACTTTTTATTGAAACAGGAATAAATGTTATGTTATGTAAAAGTTTTTTTTAAATGCTAATTTGAATTAAGAGGTCTTCTGGAACTGCCTGGGATGTATTTACATTTAAAATGAACATGTGGTTCTCCCTGTATAGAAATCTGTATGATACTTTCTGTGGTTTTCCTAAAAAACTGAGAACACATGGGGAGCTCCACTATTTTGAATTGAGTTATAACAAGGAAGCCCTTAAGGATTTAATTTATATTTCCTTAAATCTGCTTTAGCTTCCCAAATCTGTCTCTGAATTTGCTTTTGTTTCAAATATAGGGAACACATTGAAGGAAGCTGTATTTTTTTTTGAGATTTATAATGGAGATGCAAAACTGTGTTCCATCTGGCAGCAATATGTAAAAGTCATTGTATTATAAAAACATGACAGACATGAATTCATCTGCCATCTGCAAGCTTCTATGCAGTACCAGCGAACTTTATGGCTATTTATTCATACTTAAAGTGCTGTTGCTATGTAGAACCTTTCTTGTCTCACTAGGCATCCTAACAATTGAGGCTTCTGGGTATTTTTCTCTTGCCATCTTTATTTCAGTCTGCTAAAGGTTCTTGCTACTTAAATCAGTGGATTTATTTGCTTGTAACAGTAGGCAGAGGCACCAAAATTTTACAGGTGTTTTGAAACACTTCAGTTCTGATGAGACTATAATTATGGTTACTTAGCATAACTTGAATTTTGGCAACGCAGTGTTATTACATGAATTTTTTTCTTAGTACAGTTTATAATTCTACACTGGTTTCCATAAAATACAGAAAGAAGTTATCTAATGTTTTATAAGAGGTAAATAGCCTAAATTATACAGTGGTTATGCCAGTCTTTGTACTTACTTTATCCCAAAGATAGCCATGAGAGTTAGGGCTTATGATAAAAATCTATGTGTCTATTTTTAGAATTGTCCTATTTGTTCATATGACACTCACCTTCCTGTAATATACTTTTCTTTTAAATTGTCAGTTGCCAGAAAGAATTAGTTATTTGACAGCATACCTGATAAGTGAATATAAGAACATAGAGGGGGAAAAAACCCAAACTGTTGCACAGAAGAATGATTAGATGTGATTAGAGGTCCCTGTACTTATTTTCTTTACAAGATGGTTATTGACATGTGCATACTTTTGATGTTAGCATTTTTCCTATCTGAGAGAGGCATTTAGTCAGTCATTCTCCCTTACAGTCATCCACTGCCAAAGAAACAAAGAGAGTTAAGGAATTTTTTTAATTCTTTGGATAAATTGACCAATTTTTAGTTTCAATTAACTCCTCATTCCTATCTAGATGTTACAGGAAAAAAATTGTTTAATTGAAATACCAAGCAGTTCCTAGAAATATTTACTCACATGATGTTTCTCATATCTCTCTATCTTTTGAAAAAAAAAAAAAAAGAAATATAATCATAAAAAAGGACTATAACAGCCAGATTGTTTATGAAAGCACTTCCTTTACCCTTATATCAAATCTGGGCTCTGTTGATTTTGGTGGGATTTCTCTTGCCTAACTTTAGATGTCTTAAAGCAGAAAATCCAGAGTGAATCTTATTATTTACTGTTGACGTCCATTTTATAATGAAATAAATTCCCTCAAGACATGTCTGTCTTTCCTTTGACTGGTAAAGGACCCTAGGGTGGTGAGTTCATATTTGATACCTAAGGAGATAGATATATATCCTGATAACCTGTCATTTGTGTCTTTGAGGGGCCAAAGTGAGTTTCTCTGAATAAATCTCCCAAAGAAATGTCTGGGTATTTTTGACCAAAAAAAAAAAAAAAAAAAAAAAAAA